TGTGTATTTTACACTTAGAGTGTATCTTAATTCAGTTTGCTCTAGAATAGCCACAGTTTAAGTACTCAGTAGCTACTGTTAGGTGCTTTGCAGTGGTTACAACTCATAGTAAGTCTATGTCCAACAGTTTGAAACCACCAGCCACTCCACAGGGAAAGATGAGGCTTTCTACTCCCATAAAGAGTTACAGTCCTTTGTACTATTTACTTGTATGATCTGTGAATTGTGTGCCAATAAAAATGGTACAAAAGAGTTCGTCTTGGAAACTTTCCGGGGCAGTTCTGCCCTGTCCCACAGGATCGCTGTGAGTGGGAACAGACAAATCGTAGTGAGTCTGGTTTATGTACACCAGAACAAAACGCTGCCTGGCCCTCCATCTTCATACCTGCAACCACATTTGATTCCATTGTGACAACCCCTGTCTCAATGCATCTCATGGAGTGTCTTCCTCTTTTTCTGAGAATCCCCTGCAAACATGATGTCTTCCAGAGACTGGTCCCTCCTGGTAACATGGCCCAGTGCATGAGACAAAGGGGCTCCATCTTCACTCTCAAGGAACATTCAGGCTGTACTTCTCCCAAGATCTTTGTTCATTCTTCTTGCAGTCCATGCGATAGTCAATAATCTTTACCAGCACCATAATCGAAATGTATCAATTCTTCTCTGGTCTTCTTTCTTTATGGCCCAATTTTCATATGCATGAGATGATTGAAAAGATCTTTGCCATCGAGTAGATGCCAACGCATAGAGACCTTCTATAGCGTTCCCAAGACACTAACTCTTCATGAGAGCAGATAGTCTCGTTCTTGGTCCATAGAGTAAGCAGTGGGTTTGAACCCTTGGCCAACACCTAACTTTAGTGCTACCATTGACCTCTTTGCTTTTGGACACCTTAAACACATTTTCCCAGTACAATGTGTAACCAGATTGTGGATCTGAGTAAAATGAAATCCTTGACACCTTTTCTGCATTTAGCATGATGTCACTTTGGGTCTTGTGGGGAGGATTTTTCTTCCACAATGTGCCCATCTGGCCACTTGCACAAGCAATCCTACGCCAACCCACCTCATCCCTCCAATCCAGGGTCAAGAGAATTTTAGCTAACGGTACCGATGGCTCTTACGGAAGAGTGCTAGGTTTGAGTCCACCCAGGGGTACCTCATGAGAAAGACCTGGTGATTGCTTTTCAAGAATGGACAACACCATGGAGCACAGTTCTCTGAGACACAAGGAGTTACCAGCAGTCAGAACTGACTCCAAGTATCTCGCTGTCTCTTTCCTGTTATTCCAAGGTTTCACACCAAAAGAAGACAGAACCCACTGCCATCAAGTGGATTCAACTTGGAGCAACCCTGTGAGCACCAGTGAAACGGCTCCCCGGGGCTTCCAAGACTGCAAATCTTTCTGGGAGCAGATAGCCTACTTTTCTCCTGGGGAATGAGTGATGGCTTTGAACCATGGACTTTGCAGTTAGCATCCCAAGGGTTAGCCCACAGCACCACTCGGGCTCATCCAGTTTGTCAAGCTCTCCCACAACCTTGTGTGTGGCTCCCCTGATCACTCATTTGGAGTAGTATATCCTAGGCCATGGATTTCACCCTGGTACATCAGAATCAAGGTGTGTTGCCAATATAAACACAGGTTCAGGAAGAGGCAAGCCCTCAGGAGTTGGGTTTCCTAGATCTGGGTTGGAGGCTCTGAGACGTTTTTTTAAAAAAACATAAGATTCTTCTGAAGTTCCATCTAGATCAGTGGTTCTCAACCTACCTAATGATGCGACCCTTTAATACAGTTCCTCATGTTGTGGTGACCAACCACAACGATAAAATTATTTTTGTTGCTACTTAATCACTGTAATTTTGCTGCTGTTATGAATCGGGCAACCCCTGTGAAAGGGTCCTTTGACCCCCAAAGGGGTCACGACCCACAGGTTGAGAACTGCTGATCTAGACTGAGAACACGGATCTAGGACATGATATTTGGGATCCGTCCAGGAAGGAATCTTGCTTGTAACTCTTCCAAAAAGTGATCTCCTCCCCCCCCCCTCTCCAATTTTCACTGATGGACTATATCCTTGCTCACCTTGTGACATGCTCCCACAGCACACTACTTCATAATGTCTTCGTAAAGGCATGACATCTTTTTCAAAGGTACCAGCTTATGTAATTAGACTTCGACGTACAGAATATACAAAATAGCTGGCTGTCTGGTACTTCTGTTTAAATAACCATGGTTTGAAAGGTGGAACTTCTAGTAAGGCAAATCCGATCAAGGAAGAAAGCCAAAGAAAACATGTAGTGAACAGGCCCAGGATGTGTTGGCCCTTTGGAGGAAATGCTTAGAATCACAAATGGAAAGGGAGGGAGGTGGAAGCAAGGGGGAGAGAGGGAGAGGGTGAGTGAAAGAGGGAGAGGGCCAGCGAGGAGACAAGGGGTGGCTGAGAAAAACACAATGGGACCCCACAGAAAGCCTGTCTTCACGCGTTGTCATTTAGTGGCCATCCTTGGTCTTAGGTTCCCTTCCCAGGGACCCAAAGCAAAACTGATAATGGTAGTTCTGTAGCACAGTTTGCTTTTGATCGGGAGAAGAGATTCATATAGATAAGATTCAGAAAGATGATCGATTCAGTTACATTTTTTTTTTTAATGCTAATGGTTTCATTTAAACGGTCATGATATAAAATTGCTTTCTGCTTCCTTCTCACATAATAAATGAGGGTTCATAAACTCCCAGGCACAGATGTATACACTCATGCATTAATTTATATTTGATCAATATTTTGATTTATGAACAAGGCAGGAGATATTGAAGCTCACAAACCTTGCTCGTTGGCTCAAAATTTATTGTCTATTAAATCTTTTTTCGGAAGGAACTTTAAGATTGGCTTTTTGCTCTAAACATTTCCTGGGGTTCCTTCACTTAAGATTTTAGACAACTACACCCCTTCACAGCCACACAGCACACTGATTTTGACCTGAGTAGGGTTTGCCTTTCATTTCTATGCTGCTGCTGATACAAGGGGCCCTGGTGGTGTAGTGGTTACCAGTTGGGCTGCGAACTGCAAAATCAGCAGTTCAAACCACCATTTGTTCCTCACGAGACAGATGAAGCGTTCTGCTCCTGTGAAGAACTACACTCTTAGAGACCCGCAGGGACAGTCCTACCCTATCCAATAGGGTTACTATGTACCAGAATCAACTCTTAGGCGTTTGGTTTTGCTTTGATTTATGGACACACAGTGGTACACTATGCGTCAGGTGTTGGTTTACAGGTCTTAAGGTAACACACACACAATAGGATTGGCCACCCTTCTTTAAATAGCAAGCTGACTACTATCCTTGTACATCTATCCAAATTGCATTGATATTAAGCTTTGGAACAATTTCAAGCTAGGGAAAGTTTAACAAGTTGTTTGTCCTGGTAAGGAAACCAAGATAATTAGACAACAATCAAGAAGGATTGTTGTAAAGACTGCCAAGAAAACACGGGAAGGAGTCTGTCGTCCTATCCCTCATCTTGATGTTCAAGGATCTATCGCCTCTACACCAACACAAAACAAATCTGCTGCTGCTGAGTTGACTCGACTCATGGCGACCCCTGCGTTCCAGAGGACAGACAGCTGCTGCTCCATAGGGTTCCCTTGGCTGTTGTCTTTCCGGAGGCAAAACGCCAGGCCTTTCTTCTGTGATGCAGCTGGGTGGGTTCAAATTGCCAACCTTAAGGCTGGTAGTTGAGCACAACTGTGCCACCCCAGGGATCTTTGCTCATTCCATATGTCCAACCCCAAATACCG